TGATTGTATATTTTATGCACCATTCCACCAAGACAAATTCCTTGTATGTGTAAAAACCTACCTGGCAATAAATCTGATTCTGATTCTGATTCTGATGTCCTCAACCATTATTTTATTACTTCTGTAGGGGCTGCCTACTGTCAGTTCATGGATCTGCTCTTCCCTGGCTGCATCAGTCTTAAAAAGGTCAAGTTTCAAGCTAAGTTGGAGCACGAGTACATTCACAATTTCAAACTGTTGCAGGCCTCCTTCAAAAGGATGAATGTGGACAAGGTGAGTCAACCGTTAGCTTTAATCTTGTTAATGGAATCTGCAGTTTAATTTCTTTCATTTTTTGCTCTGCACTTCATGTGCTTTGAGGAAACTGCATGAATTTATATTTCCATTCTCTTCCTCCCCCTCAATTCAGATTATTCCTGTGGAGAAATTGGTCAAAGGCAGGTTTCAAGACAATCTTGATTTCATCCAGTGGTTTAAGAAGTTCTTTGACGCCAATTACGATGGTAAAGATTATGACCCAGTTGCAGCCAGACAGGGTCAGGATGCCATTCCCCCACCTGACCCTGGTGAGCAGATCTTCAACCTGCCAAAGAAGTCCCACCATGCAGCCAGCTCCCCTACTGCAGGTAACCTTCATGTGCTGCACAAAGCAAAGCATTCATTTCTTTTACTATCCAAATATACGTGAAATGTAACACTATGGCATGTTTTCATACTTGAGTGCCTGGCCCGTGGTACCTGATAACACTTTGAGTATTTATTTTTACATCAACAACTGATTATTCTGTTGTAACTTCGAAGCTCAGTACGCAGATAAATTGTGTAATTTCTTGTCAAAGAGTCACTATTATGTCAGTAATCCATCCTTTAGTAATTAATCTTTTTGTCTGGCATAGGAGCATCAAGGATGAGCACTACAACTCCCAAGTCCTCAACACCAACATCCAGACCCTCATCAGCCAAAAAGATCCCTATTCCGCCAACTCCTGCCAAAGGAGAGAAAGAACTGGAAGCACAGGTCACGCATCTTACTGAGCAGGTAGGTTATTTATGAACAGCTCAATTGTCAGACATTTTTACTCAATTATTACTTCAATTTTACTATCCTCTCCGAAACTGACCCCAAACTATCAGAGCACCAAACTGTTGCCTTCACATTGCTCACATTCCTACTTCGAACACTGGCTGTGTTCACTGACGGCAGTAGGGCTGCAGCTAATGAGTATTTAAATGAACAATTAATCCACCAGTTATTTTCTTGATTAATTTTTTAATCTTTAAGTCAATTGCTTGTTTCCTTAGTTTATACAACCAACTATTCAAAACACTAAGACATTTAGTTTACCGTCATGTAGACAAAGACATTTTTCTAATGCTCACATTTGAGAAGCTGGAACCATGGTATGTTTATTTTAATACTACTTTTAATTTAAACAGTGAAATACATGGACTGTAAATATATCATATGCCTGTTTTAAAAAAAGGGTGTATTGGCACTATGTTTGCTCAATAATAAATTTATGTGGATGTCTTCAAAAAAATAATGTTTGTTTGCTAAAGAGTCCATACCTCAATCCGATTCAGAAAGAAAAACTTGAAACTTGGTCACTTATGGTTTCTTTGCAAGTTGAAAGTTTGAGCACTTTTGCAGAAAACAATGGTGGAAAAGAAAAAAAGTAGAGGCTATTACACACTGCTCCACACATATATTAGCTGTAATTGTTGCCAGAAGCACTTCTAAGTATGTACTTGAAATTGTATTTATGTATTTTATATTTGAAATACATGTAGGTTTGCTTTTACTATGACTTATTTTACTTTCTGTTGATTAGTGTCAACATTTGATTTACATCCACTGTGATTCAGTATGCAGTAGTAGCTGCACATACATATAGTTCATTCAAACAGAATCCATGTGCACATCGTGTAGTCGTTCCATTGTGCGATCCAACATGTTTGTGCAAATGTTGCCAGTCATTCTGGCATCATTCATTTGGTTACACTCCAGATCTAAGCCAAGGACAGATGAGAGTGAGCTAAATCTCGCTCACATTGTAGCCAGAAAAAAACCCCCAACTATTGAATTTTAATCTAATGAAGAGAAGTCCTAACATTTGTGCAGATGTATAGTTTTACTCAACAAATGACTAAACAGATCAATATATTATCTAAACAATGATTACACAAAGACTTGAGTTTTAATCCATAGAATAATCAATTAAGCAGCTTACTCTGGAATTCTCCAGTTAGATGTTATTTGTGCACTTTAGACCACTTGTATCAGTGAATCAGTTTTCTGTAACCAAAGTCCACGTTGTTTTTGTGTGTTTTTGATATTGATGCTAAAACAATCTTGTGAATTGTATTTTTTGAAGGTGAACACATTAAAGTTGGCACTGGAAGGAGTGGAGAAGGAGAGGGACTACTACTTCAGCAAGCTGCGACAGGTGGAGCTGCTGTGCCAGGAGCAGGGCGAAGAAAATGCCCCTTTTGTCGATCGGCTAATGGAGGTCCTTTACGCCTCAGAGGAACAGGTCAGTCTTTGACCCTAAATTAATCTGAATAGGGTCCAGGACAGTTGGAGCCCCCCCGACTTAGATACGTTTTTGCAGCCGTGTACACCAGTAAAATGTGCGAGTGCTATTTTTTTCCTGGTGGTAAAATCATGTGAATGTTATTGTGGGTTGAAAGAGATAAGAAGTCTTTTTGTGTAATCACATGTGTTTGCCTCGGAGCATGCTTCAGTAGTATTAAGCTGTGTATGTGCCCCCCTTTTTAGGAAGGAGCGGAGCTGGCTGAGGGTGACGGACAGGAAGTAGACCAGCAAGCCCATGAGGAGGCACCAGATGATCAGCAGGAGGAACAGGATGAATACTGACTGCCATCATCCCTCACCGCAGTTACACCCCTCTTTTTAATATGTGAGAACTGTTAAAGGATTTTAATTTTTCCTCATGGTCTATTTTTTTGTTTTCCAAGACTGAGCACATGAAGCAACCTCCTGAATAGAAGCACCATCACATTTTTTCTTTTTTGTATCCCTCTGCTCACTGTTCGATGTTTTTTGTGACTTTTGGTGAACTGCTGTGGCAGACAAGCTCAGACCATCACAGAAGTTTCCGAGGACTGTGTGGGTGGAAGGTCAATTCAAATCCTACGGTAGATGTGATGAAATGCTGAATTTTAGACAGGTAACCGTTATCTGTCAGTGCAAATGTTAACTTCCCAGCTTCTGTCCTTTTTACATTTTATTTTGTTTTTATTTTGCATATCAACAATATTAATCACAAGAATGCAATAAGTAAAGCCCTGAAAGGGCTCGTAGTAGCTCTTATTTAACCTCCTTCCATATGTTGCACTGACATTTGACTCTGTACTGGACAATCTGTCCATAGACCCTCACCATATTTATTATTATTAAGCCTTAGAAATAGTGCAAGAATCTGCATTGCATCCTCGTGAAGGAGGACAATACAGTCAGTGAATTGTGAATAAAATGTAGTATAATGCCAACTTATGACTGTTTGACATCCTCACAAATTACAAGATTTCAGATAATCAGTGTGCTCAACAATGTGTTATTCACACCATACAAGGTGGTTTGGTGATATAGTTTACTTGGTATGCCATAAACATAGGGAAGGCAGAAACATTATCGTGGACTAGTCTTATTATGATGCAGCATTTTAAGTTTTAAACCTCAGCTGGAACTTGTGGTCCGTTCAGATTTCAGAGTTGTTGTTTTTTTAAACCACAGGTCTTAGGGAGATGAGTCAGTTCACTGAGTAATTTGCCATGCTATATTCCAGTAAGTACATTGTATACCCTTTCTTAATATTGCATTTACTAATATTGAACTGGGCAGTGCACCATAATGCTTTAGTCATATATTATTATTGTGTAAATGAAAAAGGAATGTAAACATGTACTGTCAATAATTAATGAATGGTAAATGTTTTTTTTCATGTCCCACTCATTATGCATTCCCCAAAAAACGTGTTGCATGTTTGCATTTTATTTGTGAATAACTTGACCTGCTTTTTACATATTTAATAAAAAACAAGTATGTTAAGTGAGCTTTTTGTATGTTTAACCTGCTATTTGAAAGATGTCGAGGTTCGGATGGATTTGCTGTAATAAAATTACGTTTTGAGTCCATGGGAGTGTTGTCATGTCACTCCAACAACAGCCAATAGTTTTGAACATAGTTATAAGAACTAAATAGTAAAAGTTATCTGCTCTAACTATCAATGTATGCTTTTATAAGGTTTTTTAGTTCTTCAAAAGATTCTCATAGGCAGATAATGCTCCATATAAGCAGGCAGTGTTGGAAGAGAAACTCATACTTTTTACTTTTTTTATGTAAAAGTACGAATAGCACAGTGTGAAAATCAGGCTTTCATGCAAGTGAAAGTACAGAAGTATTACCAGAAAAATGTCCTTCTATAAGCAGCTTTTTAATGTTGTACATGATTGAGGTACCGTTAATATTAAGAAAATATGTCCCAGTTCATAGTTCAATCTATAAGAATATATATTTTAAAATTTAATCTAAAAAGTAAACAACTTAATACTAGTACATTTACTCAAGTACTGCACATAAATCACTCTGCTATATTTGTTTTAAAGCCAGATTTAGCTATTACCAGCAAAACACATGACCTTAGAAATCATGATTTGTTACAGATCAACATATTTAAAGTAATACAATAAGCTTCACTTTGCTTACAACTCTAAAATAACAAAAATAAAAGCAGAAAATGGAAGTAGAATTTATAACACTGTAGGTATCCTTAAAAACATGTACCTGATTAAAATATACTTAGTCACTTTGACTGAGAAGCTCACACATGGGCGTCCTCCGGTCCACGCTGTTGGATAAAAGAAACACACCTCTTCATATGTGCTCTGTTTGGTTAGCGACCACCGGCAAACCGCAGCTGCACAACCATGGGTTCATTAAAAGATATTTGAGTGAATAACGCCGTGTAAACACAAATAAACTAGTGGCCGAAACCTTTTTTGTTTCATTTTGTCGCCATGTCTTACAGAAAGGTAAGAAATCTGCTACCTAGCTGTGGTAGGCTAAGCTGCTAACAAGTTTAGGCTAACTTTAAGCTACAAGCTATCTAGCTCAGGCAGTGTTTACCTCTCATGTGTTAACTGGTTTAACTACATTTTATTTACTATCACAACAGATACACCACTGGTTTTGAAATGTAAGCTCGCTGTTACACATTGAACTCACGTTACTGCAGGACCGCCATCACCAAGAGAATCAGTGGAGAAATAAAAGCTATCAAATGGGTTGTTTTCATTTAGCTTTAGTGATGATAAAATGTGTTTTGCCCTTTTGTTTTGTAGCGCAAAAGACACTACAAGGATATAAAGTGTGTTTTCTTTCCGGATGAAAACGGTTTGCAAAAAGTCGGGGCAGCATCTCTTTCATCTGTGTCTTCCGCCAAGAGCTGGGAGAAGTGTGGAGACAGTTTCCTGGACACTCCGGTGATAAAGGTGGATGAAGTTTAATGATCAATACCCATATAATACACGTATCAATACCCGTATAATAACCGCTGTATAATACCGTATAATACCTGTATAATACCTGTATTACCCCCCAACTCCTCTGCTGATGGTGTTGATACTCGTTTCTGTTGCAGAACCTCAAGTCATCAGGAAGGAAAGTGTCTGACATAAGAAAGTTATCACAGTCCTCTGCATTAGGTAATTTATAGTGTAGTCTAATTTAGTTGATTAATACATGAATACAATATATTGATAGTTTATCATCACTGGAATTGTATTGTGGGGTTTCCCAGTTGTCTATCAAACCTCAATATTTTTTTCGTCAACTAAAATGTGGCCATAATACTACAGATGATCAAAAATGGCTCTTCTTTACGTATTATTTGATCAGATAGTTACTTATTTAAATCCTAAATTAAATCTATTATTTTATGAAGAAGAAGTTCTTGTGTTTAGACAACATTTAATATTTGATAAGTCTCCCTTAATTTAAAAGTTTAAAGAAAAAAAACATATAATTCATTTAAATTTTGTAGAAATACATGCTTTTGAGTAAGTGATTTTGTTTAAATTCAAACAATACCCACTTCTACTTTATTTTATTCTTAATTTAGACAGTGTGGGGAAACAGGAATATAAATTGTCTGTGTGCTCATATGGGTGCGTATGTGTCTCTACAGGTGGAGTGTGTAGCCACTCCACTCATGTCATGACATGTTTCTTAGGTTTTAAGTTTTTTTTTTTTCTCCCAGTGCCGACCGGTGCCGACTGTAATGAAGACCCAGTGCACATTGCGTGGAGCTCCAGTGACGGTGAACAGTCTGATGATGAGACCCAGAAGCAGCATCTGTCCAGAGTTGTCTCTCAGCAGCAACAGCGTCCTCAGAGACCAGGGAGACCCACGGCTCCCATTCAGTCTTACACCAGAGCTCTGCGCATGCTCAGGACTGATAAAGGTAAATAAAGTCTGCTGTGACTCACTGAGGCACAGCTGAAACATACCGTATTAGGTTGTTCTTGATGTGCGGTAAACGTTTTGAGAGCTGACCTTTGTTAAAGTTTCATACTACAAAAGTTCTGTCACAATCTATTTTTATTCATCATTTTAATTTGAATGTTTTAAATTATTTTTTTCTCTATCACAGTAAACATTTAATATGCAGAACTTACAGATTATGCATTAATAAGGGAATGCAGAGAAACGGTGTACAGAGACACTGACGAACATTATCAGTGTTACTTGCTTGTCCGTCATCCTCCGCCACATCAGTCCCTCTTTTTTCACCTCGTTTATCAACCACATCACAATTATTGGGCTTTATAAGGAAACACTTTGCGACAGCTTGGCTATTTAGCGATATAGCCTACCATTGTGATGGCTAAAGCCAGCTAGACAACGAGGAGGTTATGCATGTGAGATCAAAGACAAGACTACTGGATAGTAGCTTATTAATATGCACACTCTCCACCTGGGGGGGCGGGGGGGTCTACATGTGGATACTGACAGTGTTGCATGGGAATTAGTCAACGCTACTCTAGATCAGCTTCAGTGTTAATTTGTTAAAACGACAGACGGCCTCCAGATTTTTCCGTCATTGTTTAAAAAATGAAGTCAGTGACCCCTACTCAGTTGTCATCCTGTGACCTAAATAAGGAACTTCATAACAGCTGAGCAATCACCATTCACTGAGAGAATGTGAGAGCTTGAAAGCTCCAGCAAAAGCTAGTATGTGGAGCTTGAGTTAAGATTATTTTGTCAAACTTAGTTTATTATTAACTTTTCTCTTCTATTCTTTAGATGACCTTCCTGTTATTGACACAGACAGTGACCTGGATGAGTCTGAGGAAGATGCTGAAAAGGACAGTGGGCAACAAATCTCTGACTGCGAGTCAGAGTCCTTTGATGACAAACCGGAAGATTTACCTTTTAAACCTACAAATGTGAGTAAACTATGTTTTTACTGATACTTTGTGTTTCTTCCAGGGATCCATTGATCAACTCAGGACCTGCATTAGTGCATGAATCAGCTGCATTATTCTGAAACAATGATGCACAGCGGTCTGTCATGGTCCATTTTCTCAAGGGTGTTATGTGCTTTAACGATCACTAGATGGAGCCACACAACTTCTTAAACTCTGTATAGTTATTTAGATCCAGTGTATGTTTCTAATTAAGTGTTCAGCTGACTGCCAGCATACGCAGTTTTCCTAGAAGTTGTACTGTAACTGTCAGTACTTTTCCTAGAGTCCAGTGAGACAACCAAGGATATTCTGTTCACTGTGTGTATTAAACCTGACGAGTTTTACCATCACTTTACACTTACATGCCATTAATGCACATGTTTTAGTGTAATGTATAACAACACTGTGTTGTATTTTGCGTCTTCATATCGCATTATCGTGTTGTTTTAGTTATTTTTCATTTGTTTAGATTTGTATGTTTATTCATTATACCACCAGGTGGAGTGTTGCAGTCATGTTCTCATGTCCTGAAAGGCCCTGACAGGCTCAAACCAGCATTGCACTGAGCACTTTCTAGATCCAAGTTATGTTCCAAACTGTCAAAGTTCACAAGCTGAGGTAGCAAATAAAACACTGAGTGAGTGTGGAGGGAAACACTGCCACTTGTTCACTGACACAAAGCAGATGTTAAAACAGTTGGTAATGTTTGTGCAGTAATTACAGAACATTTCTACTTTAATGACAGTAGTTGCTTTTGAGTCTCTAAAACTCAGATGTGTAAAGAATTAAATAATTTTGAAAAAGTGTTCAAAATAATCAAAATTTTTTAGAAGTGCAACACAGTTTAATATTCAATATCAAAACAGAAGATTAATTGACTACTATTGACTATTGAGTGCTTTTTCAAGCATAAATTGTAATTATAATTGAATATTTTGGGGGTTTGGACATAAAATAATGACATCAGCTCGGGTTCTGAGAAATTGTGTTTATTTTTCACAGTTCTCTGAAGTTTTAAGGGACAAACTATCAATCAAACAAATCATCAGTAGATCAGTTGATAAAGAAAATATTTGCTAAAGCACAACGTCATATGATGCGTACACTTCTCTTTCTGTTTCATTTGACGAATATATTTGTGTTGTAATTGTAATGGATTTTTTGTGGACCCTCCTGTATGCTGTGGAGACTTGGATTGACTGTTCCTTCTCAGAAGTCATTCAGGAGCTGTGTTTGTTAAAGGCAGGGTTGGCATCAGGAGAATGTGTAAGGAGTGGTGAAGGTGTTACGCTCAGGTTCGAGACCACACACAGCACTTAGCTGTTACAGCACACACCACAGCATGTAATTGGTCAGTTTGATCGACCAAATTACTGAGATGATGCGGTGGAATAGCATGGAGCTGGTGGAGCTGGACGCTGGAGTACAGTACTGTAGAATACTGTGCCCGCTAATTAAACTCAATTATTCTTATCGTAAAACACAAAATACATTTAAGCAACTGCTATCTTGTGATGAAGCTCAGAGTTTGCAGTCTGTATGTCAAGAGGAAGCCTGTAGACAGATTATTGCTCCCGCAGACCCAGCTACTTCCTCTTGTCACAGTTTAATTTGCTGCTATCAGCTTTCTGTGGTCAAACAAGATTTAAGATCACCTAACATGAGGCTTTTGGTCAGAGGCCCACTAGAAAGACAGACTCTTAAGAGTCCTAGCTTTCAAATATGGTTGTACTGAAATCTATGCATGTGGTATTTCTGACAGTTTGATTGTTCATTGCCCGAAACATATTCAGTAATTGGAATTGCATTTTGTTACCTAGCATTTCTCTTAACATTGCTTCCCAGAAAGCATGCTTACACACGGCCAATTGTTAATCAAACCAGATCTAACAGGATACGGAGGAGAAGCTCCCAGTCCAAGGCAGAGTTTATTACTCCAGATAAATGGACGGCTGACTCACTTGACGAATGTCTGCCAGATTTCTGTGTTTTTGTACTTGCTCTGAAAGTGGACAGGCGGAGCTGTGAGGAGCGGCTTTGCGTTTCAAGGCCAAAGAGGATGGCCACTTCCCAGATGAAGCGTGTGTTGCTCGCTTAAAGGGTCAACAACCTTGACCGCATCAGGGCCACTCTAGATCAGGGCCATGTCAACAGAGCACGAGTATAAACTTCTTTTTTACTACTGTTTGTTCAGGAAAACATGCGAGTGGATGAGGCTGCACAGAGCTGTGTACTTACAATGCTTTCAGTGCCGGGTGAAAACATTTTTGAGCCTGGGCCAGGAACATAGTGTTCCTTATTCTCTGTAGCTGGTTAGAGTGTGACGTCTGCTGGCACTCAGCCTAGCAGGGTCAAGTTGATTCAAATAGGAGAGCAAGTTGGCTGACAGAGCCTGGTATGCCGATCTTGTCTGCACATGACAGGAACTCAGGTTTCTTGTGGATTTTTCCATGAGAACTGATTCCCTCAGGTGTAGTGAGCGGTGATACAGCAAAAAAGATTGTTTTGTTACCATATCTTGTGAATTAATCAGTGTGTCAGTGTACCATATCCACCCACTTTATTATTGAATTTATTTAATCTTTAATGACTAATAATATTAATTTACTGAAGGCTGAGGCCATTTTAAATATTTAATATCCCCCGGATGTATACTGGTATTTTATCTACGATTTGACACTGTTAAAATTCATCGGTCAAATATTTTTTTTAAATTAATCAATCAATAACTCTTTATCCCTAGATGACTGAGCTGGAGATCTCAGGCTACGTGTCTGACGGCGAGAATAATAGCCACACAGTGACATCGAGCAGACTCGAGAGCTTTCCTCTCCAAACTGGTGAGGGCAGCAAAAGGTCAGTCAGTGACTGGGTCAGATCTGCTCAGGCGATGCTGCAGACACCTCAGAAACCGCTCGCTAGGCAGTCCAAGACTCCTGAAGACTCTGCCAAGAAGAAAAGGAAATTTGAAAGGTTTGAATGTTGTTCTTGTTTTCACATTAGGCGTGCACTATTTCAGCCTTTTCAGGTAAAGCGTAAAACACAGAAATTCATAATGATATTGAGGAAGAAACTGTATTTATTGTGTAGCTGATACCTGATCTGCTTAATAAAGTCAGTATTGGGCCAACACTGACTTGGTAATCTGATCACATTATTATAAACATCAAGTTTTACAGTATGTTGCCTCATAATAAGAGCAAACAAAGAAACAAGACATATTGCTTGCTGCCAGATGACAGTCAAACTTTGGCGGCAAGTTTCCACGGCTGAACCGATGATGAAAGGGACACCTGGTGTCATGATGTGGGTGCTAAATGTCATTGCCATCTCCAAGCCCACCAAATCTGACAGATGGCTATCTGTAGTCTTTGACAGCTTGCTTTTTTGCATCAGAAAATCTTTTTCTTTGAAATAAACAATTTTGCACGTGCTTTTGTTCAAGCCACGTGTGCCGTGTGAGTTTATCAATCAACATCATCTGTTGTACCGCTGTTTGTTTGTTGCACAGCGGAGGTCTTGCTGAGAGGCTGAATCGACTCCAGTGCAGACAGAGGTCAGCTGTTAGCTTCTGGAGGCACAAGTCCATCTCTGACACCTCAACGACAACAGGTGATCCCCTCAAGCCTACTGTATTATCCACAATTATACTCAGAATGACCTCTGAATCATCATTCACATTTAGCTATGAGCTCTGATTTATGAGTGGGATGAAGCCTGTCTGAAGAAGAGCTGGCTTTGCGTTGATCACTGTAGCTCGAACTGTGAACTCAATATGTAGGTGACAGGAAACTGCTTGCCTGGGTCTTTTTTTTTTTCCTTTCCGTGGTGTACTCAACCACTTGTGTTCTCTCGTTGTGAAGTATCTCCTTATAATAGGACACAGGAAGTGGCTTAAAGGTGACAGTTGATTGTGGAAAAAGAAAACACCCACCTCATCCAATTTCGCGGTCCGCAAATGGTTTGATTAGTGCGTTGTGTAAAGAGTTAAACAATGGGTTAAAGCGTGGAGGTTTACTTGACTTCCTTTTTAAAAATCAATATGTGGTGCTTTTGCATTGAAGACACCTGTGTCTGTTTACGTACATCTTTTTAAGCCATTAAAGTCAGATGGCTCATTCTTCATGTTGTTACTATCTACATCAGTTTCACCTATTTTTCTTTGTTGTACTAATTTCGGTGTGCGACGTAACTGTCCTCATACACGTGGGACGCCTTGACTTATTTCCTGACACATTGCTCTGCGTACAACTTATCAGATCATTATAGGTCAAGAGGAGGACTAGAGTTCCTTTCTGAGTTTTGGCCGACTGCCGGTGATTATTCTGATGAATTTATAATCTGGGATCTAAATGCACAAATTAAGCACTTAACATTCATGTTTGGACAAATGCGTATTAAAACTTCATAGCTCTCTAGCGATCACTTTGATATGATTTACTCTTATCATATTAAAATTCCCCCTCGGGCCTCTTTCAGTGATCGTTAAGGTACACAGACTCTGAACTGCACTGACTGTGCGTTCTCATGCTGCATTTTTCACAATTCAGTGCAATCAACTTTTCACACAACATTTACATGCAGCCAAGTTGCTCTCTTATCTCAGCATGATTTATAGCATCGGGGCATTGTCTTGATTCGCTCCTCCTAATTATCTCTGTCGATTTTATTGTTCAGCCCAAAAGCACAGTCAGTGCCGTGGTAAAATTCCAAACATTTGCACACTCACCCAGTGGGATTTGCTGCGTTTCATATCCAACTCAGCCTGAGTCAGTGACAGCTTTTACAGTTATGCAGTGCGAATTGTTCTGATGCTAAAAGGGAATTACTCTCATAACGTGTAACGAGTCCCACAGAGAGCAAGAGTCCGTGAGAGCACGAGTACACCCTGTACGCAAACACACAAAGGCGCACACACTCAAACAGACACACACTCAACATCTGTGTTGTTGTTGCTCTGCTCTCCAGTGGACAGGCCTGGCGTACTAGTGCTGGAGGTGCTGGAGGTTCAAGAGGAGTGCAGCATGCAACTGGCGCTCTGTGAGCACCACCAGCCCCCCGGAGAGGGTCACCAACACAATGACCCTGTCTCTGAGGAGAGAGCTCGTATGCTGGTGTTATTCAACAGAGAGACTGCAGCCCAGCTGATCCCCGCACCCAGAGACATCATCCACATATACCCACCATGGTGAGAGCATGCGATACATGATGACTTTTAAAGTCCTGCTCCACATATTGAATGAATGAGTGTGCAAAGTTTGACACTAGATCCCATTTTCACATTCATCTGCTGAAAAAGGAACATGTCTCTGTGCTCACCTTAAAGTGAACATACAGGCAGGATTTTGTCACCAGTTTGGAGGCCAGTTGTGAAATGGCATACAGCTTACAGAAGTGTGATGCGGAAACTTGAAACCTCCAGCACGGATACACTGAGAATGGACTTGGACAGTGACATAGGAGACATCTTGTGTCCAGTTGTTAAATTGCATATATTCTTTGATTTTTTTCAGTGAGGAAAAGATATTAGGCACATTGTTATTCAAAGCAGACCACCTTCCATAAATTGTGTCTGGAGGGAACATTTAAAATGAAAATCACATTTTGAGATGAAGACTGAATCAGTTCCTCTGCAACTCAAGATGAGTTTCATGCTGTTAAAACAATTATTACTGCAGTTAAGTTATTTTTATCGTAAGGTCTATGAAATATCTGAAAGTAATGAAAAATGCACATTACAGTTACCTAAAGTCTTCAATGTGCTTTTTTTTTTTCAACCAATAGTAAAAACAAACAAACAATACGTTACCTGATATACCTGTTTTGTCTAAAACAGCACTGCTGGGTTTCCTTTTTATACATTTTCTGTGAAGGATGAATATAATACTGGGCAGTGAAACCCATTCTTGCATTTCCCTGTTGTCAATTTTTAACTAAATTGTCTCTTGGCAGTCGACCAAAAACGACACCAAAAAACCACAGTTACACAATACAAGACTGACTCACTACCTGCGGAACAAAGAGTGACAGGATCTCACAAAATAATGCTGAGGAGGCACACTGAATGACAGAATACTACACATGAATATATGCATAAACTCCTGAAATTATTTCAGGGTTTTAAGTATAAAAATGTACTGTTCTCAGCTCACATCAGCAAGCAGAAGAGACCCAGATGTGAAGAACAGTCCCTCACGTACAGGGCAGAGAGAGTGGGAGGTGGGGGCGTGTGTTTTTCGGGATTGTTTTGGAGTTGGAGCGAGGCAGCAGTTGACTCCAGCTGTTGGGAGTTTGGGTTGAGTATGCTCTGGAATATCCAAGCTGGCGGAAGTGGAGGGGCCTCCTCAGTGCTCTGACGTCACAAACAGCTCCAGGGAATGCTTCACATTCCTCTTCCTGGCAGTAGTTAGGTCATTTCCAGCAAGCCGGGGAAAAAACACAGTAGGATTATTTTCTGGAGCATTTGGGAGCAGAGAGTGGAGGGAGCCAAGTGACTTAGATTGAAAACACATGGCGGTTTGAGAGTATCTCTGGCTTTAGCACCTCTCCTTCCCTGTTGTATTCTATTCCTGAAATCACACAAAAGGGTAGAGCCCCCACCAAACACAACCATTTACTCTTTCAAATAATTATTTTTCATCTGAATAGGCATCCTTAAATCCTCTTTTGTTTGTGTAAATTACAGCATTTGGTCTATATTTTAAATGAATCAGTATTCTAACTCAATAAAAACTACATCATAACCGAAAAAAGCTGAAGACAAGCTTAATACCCTCTCGAGAGATATTCATTCATTTAAGCTCCCAAGAAAGTGGAAAAACCCGGATTTTAGAGCATCATTGCGTCTGGTAAAATTCCTCTTACCAGTTTCCGGCGTGACACTCAAGGGGTTAGCCTCCTCCAGGATTCCTGCAGTGAGTAGGTTGGCTCCTCCCACCTCCCACGCCTTGTTGTGAGTGGGCTGTGGCCTGAGCGGAAATACCTGTGGGTGTTATTCACTAAAGCGCTGTGACGCAGGCAGCCGGTGCCACTCCTTAACCTGGCTACCTGTCTGATGATGACAGCTGCCCACTCACCTGTTCACAATGGGGCCGCGCTTCCTGTACCTGTTCTCGTGAACAGTACGTTCCGCTCTGCTAACCTAACAGTATGGTTTTCACTGATTACTTGGACTGATAAAGGTGCCTGTCAAAGCTTAATCGTAACATGAGAAGAAGTCAGCATTACTGTGTGCAAATATTAATGGGGGTCGAAGAAGTACTCACGTCATATACTTAATAAAAGTAGTAATACCACACTATCAATATACCCCATTTCAAGTAAAAGTCAAGTGAAATCACTTATTGACTTAATTAAATATGTAGTGGAGACACAGAACTGATTAAATGTACTTAATGTAAAGAACTTCTGAATTTCAATAGAGATTTCCATCCCATTAATAGTAATTATTCATTAACATTACGTATGTTATTCATTGCACCATTTTAAACTAATTATTTAGTTTCAAAAATGTGTGTCTGTGTTTATTTTATAATATGATTTACAGATAGATGAGAAGATTTTAGCGTCTAGTTGTTAATTGACTGTCTGGATGTCAGTGGTTTAGTTTTAATTGATTGACTAATAGGTGAGTAATCCAAGTTTCAGCACCAGCATGGTAAACACATACAGTGCCAGGAACTGTATGTACAGTTAAACGCAATCAAGAACAATAACCCTGCAAATAAAACATTACCTTTGTGAAGATTGGATCAGAATGTTTATTTAGGCAGCCTCAGGTGATGATTTAACTCGTATTATGAGGCCGGAGTTAAAGCCAAGTGCTTGCTCATGGTGGGAATCTTTGGGTCTCTGTAAATAGTTTTATAAGCAGTACGGACTAGACCTGCTCTATTTCAAAAGTGTTATGATTTGGCACTATACAAATAAAATGTAACGTAACTGAATTTAATAGTTTGTACAAGTGTTTGTGTAATTGTTTCCACCCTCTGTCTACTTTGTGTGACGTACATTTTGAACATGTATTTAAATACCTATATTTTGAATATATAATGATTTCAATAGCCAATTATTATTAATAATGCTCGTTTTATTTGTGAAAGGACACAATATTTACACTTAACCATTCATATCAATCAAGTGTAGACTAAATATTAGAAGCACCTGTTAGTATAATGCAATACAATTCAGTAGAATGACAAACTACAGACTCTAAAATGACCATAAAATTTAATAAAGAGCTCCCTAAGACAATTTGAGTTTAACCATCAGAAAGGTCATGTTGGACTGCATTTTGTTTTAGCCAGGTGTACCCACAACTGAGTAGTGTATATAATAATTTGGTTTCTAAATAATCTCCTCGTTTCTGTTTTCATTGCACATCCAAACAGTTTTTTTCCACTTTATGTGTTTATCTGCGTTTGATTTCTCTGCTTCAACTATCACCACAGGTTTGAGACGAGCTGTGACATGTACAGCAGTTCCAGTCACAGACTGCGCTTGGCTCTGAGTCAGTGATAAGCCATCATCACACTATTATCCATGTCACAAATGTGGAAAGAATTAAGTCGTAACTCAAACTTGTGCCATATAATTATCTCTCCGTTACTCAAGTTCTTTTATTCTCAGGCTCAGTACCACTCAGGTGTGTGATATTTACTTTACTGAGCTAAAAGTACATAACCAGAAATGTTTTCTCTTCGATTTTCTGGATAAATTCACCGTCTCCTTCTTGGCACACACAGATTAGTGAAATCTGAGCTGGTAACGGTTCAGATTAAACACTAGCACAGGAGCACTTCAGGTTATACACATGCCGCCTTTGCATTCGATTTGGTGTTTTTCATCAGCGTACTCTCAACATGTTTGATTGTGACGGGCGGTGAAGTATTTTTCCACAGATGATGTCACATTTGGAAAGTGTTTTAATCAAGCTGTGCAGCGCTGTGAGGTACAGCCTTTTAAGAACCTCGGTTACATGGAAAATGTATCTTTTTACCTCAGTAAAAGAGGACAAATGCATCCGTTGTGTATTTTCACTTGCCTTGGAGGAGGTTAACGTATTTGAACTTGTACTCAGTGCTGGTTGCTACCTAGTGAACAGGCCTGTGGAGGTGGTTGGTACCTTATCTGAGTTTGACATTCAAACCGTCTCGAGCTCTCGCCCCCCTACGTTTGTGCAATAATCTACTCCATGTATTGTACTGTCAAATGTGAGTTTTTACATCTGTTATCAACACAATCACGAAACAAACACTTGTATTATTGCCCAATACCTTAAATATGTTTAATTTCATGGAGAATGTCCTCAACTCAATTCTTTAGCACCACTCAAGTGCAAAGTCAGGTGTAGCACTGAAACAACTGCCATACCCCGAATCTAAACCTAATGAACTTCATCTCTTTGCAGGCAAAGTCTTTCCATAGAGGGTGTCAGCTATGATATTATTCTGAACACACACTTCAGCCAGAAAGTCTACTCTGCTTCCAAACAAGCCAACACGTCCACTCCTAGAGGCCTGCACTCAGCAGAGAGGTGCAATGCGTATTCTCTGTGTAAAACGTTTGGACTGCTAGAGGTATGCAGGACCACAGAGGAGAACAATGCCAAACAGGTGCGTATGCTTCGATGTCATTAGAATCAAGTGCATTGCATTTACTTCCCAATTCAAAATGTACTGTATTCAGCACCGTAAATGATCATATAAGACAATTAACAAACCAAATCAAAACAAAATGTATTTTTATTATGTAGTTATACCTAACTAATTATCCTTAAATTCATATTAAATCATGAGTGCAACTGTGCAAACATCAGTTTCACTTTACAATACTTTTACACAAAGAATAATAAGCAGTCTCAATGGAGCGTTCAGCCCACATCAGTCACTAACAGGTGCATTCTGTCTGTACTGGGGATATATTATAAGTGGTTGGTTTACATGTATGTTTGATTTCCTCTGAATCTCTGTTTGCTTTGAGCTAATACAAATAAACTAACCAAGTACTGCTGGCAGCTATTGAGCCACTGCCCACACCCTCTTTTTGAAGCAGATTTCTAATGCAGCTCACTGCCATGATTTGTGTTGACAAACTAAACTAAATGCAAATGACTGTGTGGTGCCGTAAACTGTAAGTGAAATTAGTATGTATATATACATAAAGTATGAGCTCATGCTATGATGTAGTGCTGAAACAATTAGTCAATTAATCAATTAGTTTACTAACATGAACTTTTTTGATTACCTATCAATGGTGCTGAATAATTTACGTTAAGTACATTCTCCTTTTCCCCCCCTTGTCCCCTTCAGGTTGCTGCCTCCGATGCTCTGTACAGTTTCGGAGGTTCTTCAGGAGTTTTCACACGACACTGCCTTTCTCTCCTGGAAGCTATCGAGGGACTGGGCCAAGCTGGCGCTGTAGGGCAGGACGTTGAAGTGGTGGTTCAGAGAGTTTACTCAATCCCTGTGCCTGACAGCTCTCCCATGTCCATCCTTAAGCCTAGACTTCACTCCAGGTCCTCCTCAGCGCCTCCTCCTGCAGAAAAAGGCAAAACCAGGTACTGTTGGACTAGCTGATAATCACTGAGGCATTTGGTTTGTCACTTCATGCCAAAAGAGAAAATGAATTACATTGTATCTGCTGTGTATGCTTCTCTCCCACAATATGAATTAGTCTTTTTGTAAAAAAAAAAATGCATGCTGGTCTCCTTGGTCTCAGGCCTTACATGCCTTGGTGGCACAATGTGTATCTCGGCGGTAGAGCTATTGTTCACAGCACAGCAAGCCCCACAAAGTGCTCACACTGTCTCCAGCCATATGGCATTGTTTGACAAAGGACACAAACATTTCTAATTGAATCCAGCCGCTCTGTGAGCGATTCTGGCCAATTCCTGGGAAAGACAACATGATGTTTTCAGAATATCGTGCACCAGCAAGCCAAAGTTGAATTGGTGCCCACTCATACTCCACTAGGTGGAACAGGTTTGCAACAGCTTTTATTACCTTAATGCTCAAAAGGAAACCGCAAGTATAATTTATACGGGTGTAAAAATGACACAAAATATACAGTCTGGTCAGTCTTCTTTGTCATGTGTGAAACTGACTCTGGGTTTTTGACTGTTGGTTGACAAAAAACCCACCTTGGCCATAGGGAATTTTTTATCTGCCACAACAGCGTGTGACTGGTATTGTTTTCACCTTTTGAGTCTGTGAGTGTGTAAGTATGTCATCGTGGCAAAAGGTGTCCTGGAGGTAGCTACTGTAGTGGGATGTACCACAAACGTGGTTTTAGTACTATGCCAGGTGTTTATTTATTTAGGTCTGTCTGTCTCTGTCTGTCTGTGGACTGATTTCTTTCACAGAAATGTACAGGCGTGTAGTTGAAGGCCGAGTTTAAAGATTGATGTGGTCTGAGTACAAGTGCTGCAATTGAGGGGGTAGGAATTAGGGAACTAGGCACTTCCGCCTGATCCACATTTGTTGCAATCTACACAAAATTATTACTGGCTGCGATACTAAAATAGGTTAACTTGACCCCGCGAGGACGGTTAGGCATATTGAATAAATCTGGCACAGTTCACCTGTTTGACCAAACTCACTCTTCTCATGGCATGTGTGCTAAGGACCATATACACTAATTTGGGTGGTATTATCCCATCGCAAGAGGATTTTTCTGACATTTTAGAAAACAATTAACTGATTCATGAAGAAAATACAATACAATACAATTGACATATTACCTTATAAAGTTAGGGCAACAGTGTCTGCAAACAGTTGCTTATTGACACATCCAGTAGACAAGGAGCCACATTAGTATTCACTGGAGTCATGTTATGGCTGCTTGTTGAATGCAAATCCGATATTCAAACTCCTCTTAGTTTATTTTTTTCTCCACACTCTCCTGAAGGAAATATCTGACTCTTTATCAGCTAAATGTTCTACTATGTTCACCAGCTAGTCAGTACCTTTGTCTGCTTGCCACTGTAGGGTACTCTAGTGTACGGTGGGTTTGTCAGACTTGTGTAACTGAAAACGATGCTGATAAGAACGAACCAAACAGTGTAGTTATGTGCTATAAAAACAAAACAACGAGCTGAAAGACACTAAAACGCGTGATAACTGTCTGTAGGTCTGTCTTTATGAGCGACCCATTTCACATTCCACTTTTTTGTTGATATGAAGATAAAAAAAATCCCAATTATCAGTATTTATTATGATTAAAAACAGCTAAAGACTATAAAACAAGTGCATTTTTTTCCCCCTGCAGAAATGTTACAATAGTGAACTCATGTTGAAAGACCTGCAGTATGAGCTGTGTTATTGAAATGGCTTACAGGTTTATTGGAGTGGTCTTGTTATGGTTAATGAATCAGTGAATGTTCTAGTTGGAGAAAATCCAGCAAGCATGACCTTTAGTTGCCTGGCCTTCCTCAGGCTTGTTGTTTTTGTCCTTTGCTGAGTAATAAAAGAAAAGTATTGGTTTTCTGAGCGCAGAGGCCTGAGGGGCTCTCTGGTGAAGGGAGGAGAGCCCCGGTCAGCTGACAAGCCAAGTGACTAAATGAGCATCGGTTGTAATATGACACTTGCTCCTGCCATGCAGCTTCTGCAGCTGGTAAACAAACGCCGCCCTCTGACCGGAAACACTCCTGCCCTTCCCTCCGTTTCTCTCTAACTCAACCAGATTCAACAGGCTTGGTTGGTAGTAAAAGGATGGAGGTGGGGCAGAGGTACAAGAGGTTATCACGAGGACTTGAGGTCAAAATATCTGGGTGACCCTGCTTGCTTATTGTGATAGATTTGAACATTGTCAAGTAAAGTTTTTTATCAAAGACCTAAATTTGTATTATTTTTTTTACCTTTTTCTACATTTTAGAAAAAGAGAAGAAAATAGTTTCACTTTTTACCATCTTGTTTATTCTGAAATACAATAAGGTAACTAAGTGTCTAACATTTTATTACCTTTATGACTTTTTATGGGAGGTTTTGGTTTGAATTGCTGTACAGAAACAACAGCTTTTTGTACAATGTGTTGCTTATAGTACTTTTCCAGGATGCATGCCTGCTCTGTGGAGAGAAGGGTAGTTTACTTGGCAGCCCACTGGCCCCATTCTGAATAAAGACAAGGACAGTTTGTACCTCTCATGTTGTGTCCCCAGCCACTATGACTCACTCCCCTGGTCAGCATACTTATTTGATCCTTTTGTTGTTTAGCCTCTGTGTTAACACACACGTGGGAGAGACGCCAGTATGATATTTATGCCTGAAGAAGATGTTAAGTTCCCGTAAATTCAGAATAGAATAAACAAGAAGATTAACTGTTTGCAGGAAGTGAGGAGAGGCTAGTTGGGTTTTTTTTTGTTTTTTTTTCTTGGTGGAGAGGGAACACAATGTGCTGCAAGGATCCTGTTACAACCATGTTTATCACTCTGCCTGCACTGATTGGTGGACAACACATAGGAAGGAATCCCGCCTGTCCGCCCCCCCACCAATGAGGCCTCTCTGCTGTATCCTTCATGTGTGGGTCACTTACTTAGAGTGTTGCCAAGTAATGTGCATGTGCGTGGGCTAGCATGCGCACACAGTGTGACTGTGTGTGTGTGTC